TGTTTATATATTTTGGTACTTGAGAGCTTTCTTTACAATATGTTGGTATTGTGGATGGTGTAATGTTGAGTAATTTGTATTCATAATCTTTTAAAGGAAATAATAATATAGGTAGTAAATCATAATAAATCTTCAATTATTTGATCTTCAAAATAAAAAAAATACATAAATATTTTACATAATGGTTTACGTTACAAGACCTATTGCACAGAAAATTTTTTAAAAAAAGGTGCTCTGCTGTACAGTAGGTTACAAGTGGGTTACTGTATAATGGATGGTATTAAATTTGAATTCAATGATATAATATCATTGTATACGAAAAACGATTCTGAGCGAAGACGGTATATGTCAGTCTAGGATTACGACATATTATATATAAATGACATATCTATGGTATTAAAAAAAAATTGACCTAACCTAACCTAACCTACAATTCCAAATTAGTTATATCACAATATCCATTATAGGTACTTATAAAGCGTTATACATCAACAACAAACCGTGATACTATCATAGATATATAATAGTACACTTTAGAAGTTTCAAGTAGGTACCCACGAATAATATTATACAGTCACAACAAAATAACTAAAATTCTAGGTTTTTTATTATGTAATTTCATCCATATTTGAACTTAAAATTACTGTAAAAATAAACTGTGCTTATGTATTTTTTAGACTTTTTGGTAACAGAATAACTACTTATGTGGAATTTTGTTTTAAATGTTCAATCCTTAGCTATAAAAGATGAACATTTTATAAATTATTAACTACAAAATAATTATTAAATTTTAAATTTGATAAATTTTGTCAAAATTCGATCTTAAAATGCTTATAAAAAAAAATGTGCCTATGTATTTTTAATATTTTTCTTTTCAACTGATATTGTAGCAATATATCAGGAGCCTTGTATTACATTTTTACATTTTTTGGCCAAACAGATAAAACTTTATTGATATTTATAGAAAAAAAAAACTTAACAATTTTAAAACTGTAAATGTCCGTAAACAGCTCAAAAAGAGTCAAAACATTTTCAAAATTATATGGTGTATAGGAAATGCTAATATAAACACTTATTGAAATTTTCATGTATCTACAGTTATTCGTTTTTGAATTACAACAAAATAAGGAAATAGCTATACATGAGAAATCGAGTGATTGTCAAAATAAATGTTGTAAAAATTTGAATTTAAAATGTTCATAAAAATTTAATTCACTTTCCGGTAGACATTTTTTTTTTTGATAAAGGTAAATAATCTTATAAGGAATCTTGTATTACATTTTAAAATCTTAAATTTAAAAAGAAAAATTTTTACGAATTCTGAACTCAAAATAATTTGCTAATTTTCGTGATTTTTCCATATTTTATCAATTTATGAACTTTAAATGCTTATAAAAAAAAACTGTGACTAAGGATTTTTATTATTTTTCATCTGCCTTTAAAACAATATGCTATGAGCCTTCTTTTAAATTTTCAAGGTTTTTTAACCAACAGTAATTTTGTTGATATTTTTAGAAAAAAACTAAAAAAAAGTGGAAAATGAAAATGAAAATGTCCCTAAACAGTTCAAAATAAATCAAAATATATTGAAAATGTTATATTTGCATAGAAAATGCAAATATAAATAACCAGTGAAAATTGCATGTATCTACGGTCATTTGTTTTAAAGTTACACCAAATCCAAATTCAATTTTTTGTAAAAATTCCCGTTTTTCCTTAATTTTTCTTGGCGCTTTTGAAAATTAATGGGTATTTTAAATTTTGACCTTAACAAGCACCAACAATATTCACTTTCCAATCGAACAAGATACCGAAGTTGAAAATCGAAGCATTATTTCGACTACTTATCGTGTAGGTACCTACACAGACACAAAAATAAAAAAACTGGCTGCGTCGTGGGACGTACCGCAAAAGTGAGAACTATATTTTCAGGTTAGATATTATGATGGCATGATATGATAAATGTAATTGATAATAAAATTGTATTAATGTTATGTCATTATTTTATTATAAATGCAAAATATTATTACAATATAACAATCAAATATACATATGTTATCTTAATATTAATTATTTTCTACTAATACAATGGTAACACTTTCAATAGCTAGTGCAGGTTCTACATTAACTTTTAATTTATAAATTATCACATAAATATTAACTATTTTCTTCGGGTTCAACAGCAACGCTTTCAATATTTGGTACAATTTCAACATCAACAATATTATCGTCTACGGGTTCAATCGTAATATTGTGTCTATTTTCTAGTAGGCTTATGATAACTATAATACGATATAAATGTTTTTGATTCAAGAGTATCGATAAATCGAGAGAAAACTGCATCTAATGTAGTGTCATATCTTGTTGTAGTTTTCAAGGGATCATTATTCATTGTCAAATTAAAATTATCTTTTAGAAACTGTAATAGAGGCTGTGATTTTTGTGTATCAGCAAAGTTAACGTTAAAGTCTCGTGTCAATATAAGAGGTACCTACCTAGTTCATGATACTTTTCGTTTAAAATAAGTGAAACAGCTTCACTGTATGGTAACAAATGAAAGTGCAAGAATTTTCTTATATTTTCGACTGTCTGATTTGGTAAAATGTAAACTGTAATTAAAATTAATATTGCAGCCTGTATTAGTGGTATATCGTGTAGCACTGCAAATGTCGCCGACAACCGACTTCAGATACAGCTGCTGTTGCAGTCATAACGTTTTGCATTATAAGATCCATATGAGGACTGACTACATTTTTTACCTTAATTTACTTAAGGCCTTTATTTTTTCTTTGCTCAATCTATTCCTTGGAGGAGTGCAACACTGCATGATTTTTTACAGAATTTAAATATCAATAATGAATGTGTTACAGTAGTTAAAAGGTGAAAATCGTTCCAAGTCACCCTGATTGACGGTAATATTATCAGCGGTATTACGAGCCGTGCACAGAGTTGTATAAAATGAGACGAAAAAGAATCTGTGCTTGGCTGCCTGCGCGCGCACAGTCGCACAGATGCTGAAGAGAGCCGAGAGGAGAGTCGCAGCTGTCATGCGCGCGCCGCGCACCATGCCCTGTCATCGGACGGACGCGGACGTTCGACGAAATACGTCCCCGACCAAGGGCGCGCAATAAAGTTCTCACTTTAAAAATAAAACATCATTGTAAAATCAATACATTCATCGTTTCACTCAGAATCTAAAATATTGTTGGACCAGAATAATAAATAAATATCTTGCTTACGAATTCAGAAAAACTACAAATATAATTTATTTATTTTTGAATATTTACTCGAAACGGTTATTAAAAATTTAATAATATTATAAACTTAATAAGACATAATTAACAGAGTGATATATAATATAACAAATTATAACAATAGATAGTACCAGCTATTAGGTTAAGTAAATACAAATAGTGTGTGGACTACGATTATTATTACTATTATTATTATTATATTACAAAGTAGGTATGTACAGGTTGTACATCGCCCTATAATAAACGGCTTTCAGATTGATTTACAAAATGACTATATAAAACAGCTGTTAGTAATTACTTGATGTCAACACGTCTTAACCATACTGTGTAAAAAAAATTTGAGTTTTCCTAATTTTAAAATGGTCAATAAAGACCGGCTAATATATTCACTTTCGAACCACTGTGCGTGTAATCGGATGCTATACTAGTTACGACGCTCAACATTGGTACTTTTGGTGGACCGCCGCGAGTGTTGGTCAATCGAAAACGCAGTAACGTCCGGTCTACGTCGTTCTCTGTGTAATTCGTCTTCTTCACCAGCCACCAGGTCACACTTTGATCTTTCACAGACATGATACATTATATTTACAATATTATATTATATAATTTGTCATGAACACAGTCATGTTCTATGATGAAAAGCCGGTGACAAATGCCAAATACTAACCTATTTGGTTTCTCTCTATTCACTTCAAACTTTCTCGTTGTACCTGGTTACAACCATAGCTGTCAATTTACTGAGGGATTTATATGTTGTTGTATATATCGATGGTTTCAACCGTGGTAAATCTGTAATCGACGGTATTCACTGTACTCGGGTATTACTATAAATATCATTTCCTTACGTTTATCATCCTGCTAAAAAATATACCATTGTCAACATTACGATAGCATAATAATAGCATATCCATTATTGATATATTATAGGATTATAGCAATATAGCCTATAGGAAACGTTAATTTCTGACTTAGTTAAAAAAAAAAATTATGAGAATTATGAGCATTTTCAAATATTAACGTTTTACACACTCATAACTCACTTAAAAATTAAAATACCGTAAAACCCAACGATAGAACAAAGATAAGGTTGTTACTTAAACGTTTCATAATAGGTCAAAACTGTTTTCAAAACAAACAATTCTTTTTATTAAAACACATTTATATAATCTGTAGAAAATTTATGCTAAATTAAACTTTTTCGAATATTCATCCTAACATAGTTGATGAAAAAAAAAATACACCAATAAGGCATGTTATAATTTCATGTACCAAATTATTTTGGTGAAGAATCCAAACTTAGGTTCTAAACAAATTTCAAGTTGGACTGTAGAAATATTTTAACATTTTAATCATGTTTAAGTTATTTTAGTCGTACCAGAAAAATAATAATATAAAGGTTAAAAAATATTACTTTATTGAAATAAACAAAATGTCACATAATGGATATACTATAATAGTTTTAATAGACATGTAATATTCATTATTTTTTATATTTTAAAGTGAGTTGTACAATGTACACGAATATCCAAAACAATAATAATAAATTGTTCAATTAAATGATAATAATAAATTAAGTTGCCAAAAGTGGCAACTCACATATTTTCATGGTATAATAAATAATTATAAAGAATATAAATACTTTCCTTAATTACTAGAATTATTTTAAGTTGTATTTGTTTTGTTCTAAATAATATTGGGATTAAAAGTATAATAATAAATGGCATACAAAAGTTATATGTAATTATTTTATAATGATTTCTGCAAATATTCATCAAAGAGATAAAGGGACAAGCTTGGATCAGGTTGATTGCCAATCAATTTCTTCAAATCGTTGGTGTGACCAGCCAATGTTCTTATAATATCAGAATGTTGATGTACGAAGTTATTCTCCAAATATGATGCAACCTATGATAAAATGACAAACAAATATTAAATTATCATGATTATTTTATTTAAATAAATTTAAAAATAATTCTCACCTCGGGATCATGTTCCTTTCTGCGAGTGACTTCAGCATGAATGAAATGTGCTTCTTCAGCCAAACCTTTTTGCATATCCAAAGCTCTTGCCATACTTCCCAATTCATACATTTCAAAATCAATTTGCTAACGGAATAGAAAATATTATATTAACTCAATGATCAGTTAAATTTGTTTTTAAATATTATTATCAAAAAACCACAAATTACTTTTTCATTCTTCTCGTCTTTACGTGCACGGAAGTTCATGTGTCCTCCTCGTTTACCAATAAACTTCACAAGATCAATTGCTTTTTCCCATGTATTGTCAGACAATTGTCTGTAAAGCTTTTCAAAACCACCACGGTTCTTTTCAAAGTTACCAAAATGAGAAGACTAAAAGAAACAAAAGCATAACAAAATAAGTTTCAAGTATGATTCAGTAAAAATATTAGTACATAGTTTATGTCTCCTGTTCAATTAAAATTATATTTATGATAAATAATTACAAAAACTGAAATTATAGTTGACATAATAGATATAAAATAATAATTATATAGTCGGGCCATTCTAAGAGAGCTACTCCTTCGCACATCCAACTGATTGAGCGCAGCGATTTTGTACCCAAGTTTTTCCCACTCTACCACCTAGTTGCCGCAGTAAATACACGGTATTGGTCGCCGCCCAGAAGTGCTCTTACGATAGCCCGAGTATAGAATGAAACACTCGATAATCACAATCAAAGTTACATAATATACTCTATCTCAAAGAAGAACAATCACTTTTTGCCCATCATAAATGAAGAGATTGGTGCATAGAGAACAATGTGAATACGCTAATACCAGGTAGTACTTGTTGGTAACATAAGCGCGGCACTGATGAAACTTGGTCGACCGACTCATTAATCTCTTTTGAGACAGAGTATGGGTACCTACATTTAATTTTTTTAATACAATATTAAGTAAATAATGCTTAAGTTATTAGTAAAATAATTATTAAAATCTTTAATTAATACTATAAATATAAGATGATAATGTTATGTTTTATTTTTATTGTTGATTACATAGATAAAAATAAAATATTTAATTTCAAGGGTGAAAAATAACAAGCGAATTAATTATTGAATATAAAAATAATAAATATTTACCATTAGCAAGAATTGAAAACTACGCAAAATATGTGTGTTGGCATAACCTTGTACATTTACCAATAATTCATCACCCTTGAAAGCTCCATATCTTGAATTACAGTTTTGGACTTCTCCTCCTGTAATAAGCATACAACAAAATTAAATATGAAAAACAAATATAGGAGCTAAGAATTTTTTTTAAAAATTAAACTAACCAACTGGGCTGCATGCACCAACAACATCATTGTAACAATATTCACCAGCAACATATCCTACACAGAGGATAGTTGTCACACAAATTGCGAACAATTTAATACTCATCTTGATACTGAAAATTATAAAAAAATTATAATTCAATTAAATTATGGTATTATATCAGTATTTATTGGTCTCAACTTAATAGTTATTACTGGGGCACAAAAATTAAATGTCTTAAAATTAAGAAAAATGCCTTCAAAAATAAATAAATAATATAACAAACAAACTAATAATATTCTAAAACTGAAAAAATGCCTAAACAATTATTTTTAACATAATGTTAAATAAAAAAGGTAGGTATTTGTATATTTAAATTCATGTAATTTAGAGTTATCATAGTTGATGTGTCGTAAATGACTATATAGGTAATAGTTATAATATTATAATATATATGCCTAAAGAAAATTTTGTTTGTAAGATCATCAAGCATCCATTACTGCTATTATTAGGTACATAATATACATTTTTTTGTTCATCTAAGATAAAAAAAACCTTCGACTTTCTGTGCTAACAACTGTAGAAAGCTCGGTAGAAAGTGACTAGCGACAGCTATCCCCTAAAACTATGCATGGCAAAAACCTAATGGGCATTCAAAAAAAAAGTTCTGCCAAACAGGCGACCAAACTAGATCTTAAAATCAGCAATAACTCATAACAAAATATATTTTTGTTATTTATTATATTTTTAATATTGACTTACAACAGCAAGTATAAGCTTAAATTAAATTAAATGCTCAATTATTTTATTGTTTTAATGGTAATCATAGAGGATTATATCAATTTAACATATTATATTTAGCAAATTGCTTCCATTATAATTAATGACTTCTAAGTTACACATAAACATATAATACCAATTTATTATAACAAATTAAAGTGATAATGTGAATAAAAATGATGTTCTTTTCTGTTGGTTTAACAATTTTAAGTGTGTAATAAAGTCATAAAAACTAGTTTTCAAAATAAAAAATATGTTAACCTATCTTTTACCAATACTTTAAAAAAATATAATTTATTATGCAGCTTCTTTTTAAATTTTAAACTATGTATGTTGTATGTAGCTTACATCCATTATGTAAGTATATACACTTGAACGAAAGCATACAACCCTATCACTACACAATTACCACATACGAATACTTATGATTACGTAAACTACTGATAAAAAGAAATAACTATGACCCATCACTTATTACTATACAAGTCACGAGTAGACACTAGAGTACTAGACAATAATATAGTCCACTTGAGTGTTTATCATTAAATACATTACATCTTATTGTCATTAATCTACCAGCATTTTATATATTATTATAGTTTTTAAGTTTTAAATATTTTAATTATCAGTATTAAGATTATATTTAATTTATAATATGTGAATAGGGTACTACTCAAACTATATATTAGGTATGCATTACTTTAGGCATAAAAATTAAATAATTAATAAGGTACATAAACTTTAAAATCTATATTAAACACCTATATAAAAATGTTGAAGGCTCTACAACTGCATTTTTACTGTTTTAGTTTATACTACATATTATTATAATATAATAAAACTAAAGTCAAAAAAACTATCGCAACAATATAGTTGCAAAATTTAGATTTTTAGAAATATATTACTGAATTAGGTATATTAAATCAAATTGAATCAATGTTATATAATATATAATACACATAATCCTTTATGAGAAAGCTTTAGTTAAATAACGATACACAATTAGGTAAATAGGTAAGTATTATGATTTATTGAAATTAAAAATTAAATCTTAGTTCCTACCTATCAAATAAACTATTTAATTAAGAAAACTTCATAGGTTACATATGACCTATAATAGTTAACTACTATTAATTTAATGTCACTAGTGCATTAATTAATGATTAAAGGTCGCCACCCGCTGCAGTGGGTGGAGGTAAAATTATATTGTCTTGGCGGCATTGCCGGGTGTTGGTAAATTGTGTCCGGCGTAATTTCACAGCTACAGATAAAATAAACCAAACGTCAATGATCGGCCAACATAATTTTAATAATCTCTTAGGCATTTTTATTTTTATGTTGAATCACACAGGATCATTTCCTAAGTCGTTTTTGAAATGTTAAAATATAACTTGCATTATTATAAAATAATATGTTGTTGACAATTGGTATTATGTAGGTACTATTATGCATTAAATATAAACTAACTTCATATTAGATTTACCTATTTAAAACCATTAACTTATAAATGAGACTCATACTTACTAACTACAATTATCTTAACAAAAAAAAATATTATTTTTTCTTACTATAAATAGGTAAATAAAATAATTATTTAGTTTATATATATTTTAATATTTAATAGTTACATAAGATAAAAATAAGAGACAAAGAAACCAACAGGCAACAACATATTATTTTATACCCATACTGACATAGGTAATATAATAGTAATAATTTTACTATAATAATAATAATAATAATAATATAACACACAGTAATTATGCATAAATAACCAAAATGATTTCACTATATTGTGACATAGAGAATTGGAATATTTTACGACACAATCCAATATTATGTTTACATCTATGTCTAATTTTGTCACAAGAATTTTGTTGTTTGTAATTTTCTCCTTAGTCAACTATAGGGTGTAGAACAGGCGCAGATAGTAATTATTGTAATTATGGGATAAACGAAAATAGCAATACCAATAAATAATCATAATAATAATAATAATAATACTAATAAATATAGTATGGTAAAAAAAGGTCAGCGGACGACGCCATCGTACAACAATAAAATAATCATACTCACTCTGTGCGTTAGTAATGGACGACGGACGCGGAAACAGAAGTGCAGGCGAACGAAGAAATAGACTGTTACTGGTCGGCGGACCCTAAATGCACTCGAAGCGATTCGAGCGGTGACGTTGAGAAAGGAGAAGGAAATCGGAGCGGCGCGCGCAGGGGGGACTGGTAAACAACGGCAGGCAAATACAAAGAGCAGCACACAATGGACAACTACAACAGTCAACAATAATCGGCGCCGTTAAATAAATTAGATAAAACGCAGAACGGAGAGAAAATAATGATTAATCATTTATATGTATATATTATATATACATATAATTATATTACACGGAATATCGACAGTGGAATGAAAATATTATATATATTTTAACGTACGATGGTAAAATTATTACAGCAGAGTTGCGTCCTGCGCAGGCCAGCCGAATTTCTGATTAACAAGACAAACAGAATACGACGGAATAATAAGGAAGGATAACGACGCAGCGGGACGCATTTCTGGGTATTTCGACGGGCTGGCGGGATGGCGGAGGCATGTTCGGCGGGGTCGGTGGGCGGCGCCGGTGACCGTGGTGCGCCTGAAAGACGGGTAGGTTCGGGGCGGTGTACCCCCCCACCTGAAGAAGGTCGATCGGTGGTGAGGGTGAGTTCGGTTTCCGATACAGGTGGACGGGGTGGAGCGGTGGACCTCGAGCGAGCGCCGCCGAGTGCCGACGACTCGACTTGATAACGAGTGCCGACCGATTACGTTTTTATATGTTCCCCGCTGTCGTACGCATTGTGTTCCAACGTTCCATTGTGAGTACAGAGTATTGTAACTCGGTATTATTCGCCCACAGCACCGCCGCTCGAAAGGATTTTCATTTCTTTGGACCGTTTTGAGCTCCAGGTACGACTTTCATCGTTTTTCTAACATAATAATAATAATAATAATATGTTATAACATAGAACAAGTCGCGGTCGTAATGTTTTTGAACGATTTAATGTTGTTTTTAATTTTTTTCCTTTCCGCATCTCTTCGCCCCGCCCCCTACCCCCCGCCTAGCCCCGATACGTTATTATTATTTTCTCGAAACACATAACATAATAATATTATATATATAACATTTATAATTACCGTTTGCCCGTCATTGTCGTCGACTGATTCTCTCTATCGCCAACGTCCCGTCTCGTCCATTGCGCACAATTTATTGTTATAATAGTATTGTCGTTCGTCTTTGTTATACATTCGTTTTTCCGTTTCAGTCTCTATTTTGAGTCTTCGTAATACCCATCATTCGTTCGCTCACCGAAATCATGTTCAAACTCTCGCTGCTCTGTGTGGCAGCCGTTCTCGCCGTGGCCAGTCAAGAGGCACAAGGAAAAATGACCTGTAAGTATTATTACAATCACCTATTCATAATGTATTTTAAATGCTGCAAATTGCCAGCTATCTACGTGTGTCACAATCGTATTTAATATTTCCCTTTGCAGGTAAACTGCCTCAGGTCCAAATTCCAGACGATTGGATCACCATGGTTGATCCATGTACGAAAAAAATGAAAGAGCAGGTCCAGGAAGAACTCACTGCAGCGATGACATATTTTGCAATGGTAATTAAAAACAATAATTATATTATTTTTCATAATATGTGGTTTACACGACTAGAAAATTAACTCAAAATATGTAAATGGAAACAAAATAATTTTATAAAGATGCTGATATTGTGTATTTTTAGGGAGCACATTTTTCGAAGGACACAGTGAATCGTCCAGGATTTGCGAAAATATTCTTTGATAGTGCCAGCGAAGAACGCGACCATGCTATTAAAATTATTGGGTATTTGTTGATGAGAGGAGGTTTGACCAAAGACATCAGTCAATTAATCCGTGACCCTGTATGTAAATATATCTATTACCCAAGTTATATAACTTTTATTGGTTACTTTATTATTTTATTACTCATTTTATTTATAGCAACCTTTGTCTGAAGCATGGACTGATGGCTTAAGTGCATTGAAGGATGCTTTAAAATTGGAAGCTCATGTCACTCGTAAGATAAGAGATATTGCCACCACATGTGAGGAACCTGGACGTGATGGACAAGATTTCAATGACTATCATGTGAGTAGTATTCTATTTTATCAATGTTACGTGACATATTTTTAATTAAAAAAAAAAAAAATTATGAATGGATGGATGGATATTTATTAAGTTTTTATCAAAATAATACTTCAACATTTATTCTTTGTTGATTTGTCACTATGGCTTTATCAATTTGAGTGCTTCTAGGATCACTTGAGTTACTTAATGGGGTGTTATAACTATTTAATATAAATGATTTAATGTATGTATAGTGTACTTGGAGTATTAATTAATATGACGTTATCATTATTAATAATTAACTTATAATAGGTAACTCTCAACTATATTAATTATTTATTATCTGTTATACAATACTATTTTAAGTATTACATAAACAAAGAAGGTATAAAAAACTTATCAAGTTTAAGATTTATTAAAAATAGTTTTAACCATTTGTATGCACTTTTTAAGTACTGTTGACACTGTTAACACAAAGATACTATTTTTATCTTTAAATTATTCCCATATAATAAATCAAACCTTATTAATTAAATACAAAATACAATTACAAAACCATTGCTTACTTATTTTTATTATGGATGAAAATTCCATCCTTAATTTTCATATACTTTTATAAGTTATTAGAAAATTACTGAGCTTCAAAATTGTATTTGATAACTTCATGATTGTGTACACAGTGCACTTAAGATACAAATTAAAAATTATTAAAAAGTATAACATCTCATGTATCTTAGTGCACTGTGTACAAGATGTTATACTTTTAAACATTTTTTGGCTTATGGCTAGTTGCTGATTGGGTGGGCCGACAGAAATATTATTGCAATATTTATATTTACCTCGTTTATTATCAAGACTAACAATATAATATTCTAAACCTTTTGTTTTTCGTTGGGAAAAACTAAAACTATACTAGGTATAACCATTTATATGGTTTCTTTTGTTTACATTTTTTTCTATTTATCATAACTCATCTATTTGCCATCATGTTATAAGCTTGTTATTTCAGATGTATACATTTTGTAAAGAATTCCTTATAAAACCTATATCTTCTTGTCACTGAATATACTAACACAATTAACTACCTAGACAATTATTGATTTTACACAACTTTTATATGACAATGTTTTTAATATACGTACTTAGTTTATTTACATTAAATTAGTTAGGTACATTTTCTACATGTGTTTTGTATGTTTACTTTATTTCCTAAAGCAACTAATATTCACCATAGTTAATTTACGATATGTTTTGTTATATTTGTGTCATGTTATGTTCACCATTTTAGTAGGTAAAATCAATATTTAAACAATAAATTTTATAGAAAAATATAACAACAAAAATAATTAGTTAAATTAATTTTTATACTAATAAATCATGTGTAAAAACAAGCAACTTGCATGCTCTTCTTTATTCATTTATAAATATGTAGGTATCTATTACATTCATTATCAACTAGCTTTATGTCTTATGATTTTCTAATCTATATGTTTACCTATATTTAAAAAAAAAATCCATTAGTTAGGTATGCTTTAGTTCCATATATTAAGTGTAAATTAGCTCATTCTATATCTATGATAAAGGTGAAAGGTTTACTTATTTAAATAATAGTAATTATAATATTGTTTATAAAAATAAATATTTTCTGTATGACTGTAGCTGTATTATAATATAAGTAAATTATGTTATCTCAGATAACAATCCACCTTTTTTTGTTATCCATTTAAATAGATTTCAATAAATGGGTTTTGCTTAATTATTTTCAGTTGGTTGATTGGTTAACTGGTGATTTCTTGACTGAACAATATGAAGGTCAGCGTGACTTAGCTGGTAAAATATCCAATCTTGGTAAGATGTTGGAAGCACATGGAGCTCTTGGTGAGTTCCTCTTTGACAAGAAACTTTTGAATGGAGTTTCAATTTAATTTACATTTTTATGAACAAAATAATGAACTACCCTTAATTATGAACATTACCCAAACATTTTTTTTTTTTTTTTCATGTAATTATGTAAAATGATTACTACTCATAGATAAACTTATTCGTAAAATTAACCAACTATGGTATTTTAGCATAGTTAATGGTAAAATACAATTTTATTATATTTTTCACAAACATAATTTAAAAATAAACATATATTTATTACTACATTGTATTACATTATTTTTTTTTTAATATTATTTAATTAGTGTAAAATTAAATTATTATTTAAAATGTTGGCCATAATATCTACTTTTAATCCGATTAAACAATATATGATATTACTTTATTTGTAACTTTGTAAGTAATTATTGCACTCTGAAACTGAAAATCAATCACAATTAATCAAAATTGTATCTTTTATTACATTGTATTTGTTTACAACAGTGCTTGAATTGGGAAAATTTTAAAAGGGGGAGAGGATACATGTGTTTTTTAAAAAATGTGTATACCTGAGTATATACAGGGTGTCCCGTGAGGATATACCTATTAGCCGTAGAGGGGGACTCGTCGACCGGACAAAAACCGGTTTTTTGCCGTTTTACTTATTAATTAAAAAAATTATTAAAAATCAGGAAATTAATGAAATTAAAATGTTGAAACGTCAATATTTTCAGAAAAATGAACTCTACAAAATGGCAATCTTCAATATTTTTTTAAATAATTAAAAAAAATAATTTTTTAAATTTTTTACCAAAACAAAAAAAAAAATAAAAAATTAGTTATTGTAGTGCTTACCTCTGTGTCTTAATAAGAAAACAGAATTACGATATCTCTATTATTTCAGGAGATATCGCAATGAGTAAATCCTCACGGGATACTGTATATATATCTAATTGATTATAGGATATAATTAGAAGGGATACCAGTGGCGCCGAATTAAATAAAAACTGGCAGATCAAATAGTTTAATTGACCCACCCACCCCTTCAAACGACTGATTTTGTATGAATAATTTAATGATATTTCTGTGTCTTACAAAATAATAGCAGAAAGACTAGGAAACTAGGAAGTATATACTCTATTGTTTTCCCAAACGATTTTTAAGGCTGTTCAGTTGAACCACCTCCATGTTCGGCTTCACTGTGGGGTACACATAAATATTTTTAAAAAGATAGAGGTCTCTGTGCCCTCTCAATTCAAGCACTGGTTCACAATGATGCGTTAAAAAAGAATTCCTTAAAGACATCATCTCTTCCTTATATTCCTTCCTTGTCCAAATATAAACCCATTTCAGATTTCTATTTGCGTTGATACCATTTCCAAAATATACTCCGTATCAGTCTTGACTGTGTTACTTGTTAACAAATAATTATTACTCATAGTAATATATAACTTAATTTTATCATTACATTTAAATGAAAATACGAAATTTTAGGAATTTATTTATAAACTAAATTTTGTACAATTTATTTTTTGTATCATTCTTTAATAATAATAGTCATCAAGTATCAATATAGGTGTATTGTGCAATTAAACTACTTGTGATGTATGAACTTTTTATTTTAAAATATATTACTTATTTATTATATTTGTGTTGTTTTACATTTTTTCTTTACCTACTACTAATATACACTGTATATTTACTAACTGATTTACTAAGTATACTTAGTAAAAGGTTTATGATATGTCTATGGTTGTATTAGACTAGACATTTTTACCTGACCAACACTTAAATACATGGTTTTTGTGGTATTAGATAATTTGAGTATATGAACAACCACTTGTAGGTTGCCACATAATATAACAATTATTTGGACTACACATCAACTATAATATTACATAGGTAATTGCTATATTGTGTATGTTATTTCAAAAGAAGTGATAGTTAGCTTTAAAAATATATCTAAATCTTAATTTATCTATAAAATTTACATAAATTATTTATATTTTTGAATTATTAAAGAATGTCATAATGGATTCAGATAAATGTTCGGTACCTACTTCATTAAATTAATAAAAAAAGATAGAATTAGATTGGATCTCCAACAGCACAAAATTATATTGGAAACAGAAAAAATACAAATAACTGTAGAGGAGTTTTAAAACAATTTTAAGGATTTAATATTTGTTCATTTTATCGAGTATAATATAATTGCTCATAATAATTATAGTTATAAATTATTTATAACACTATAATGACGATAATTATAAATTCAGCTGTAATTATCATTTCCAATATGTACATTAGATGTGCAATTATAATAAATAATGTTGCTATTTTTTAATGCAAATAACAATAGTTTGATATAACCTATTTTTGTAATTAGATAAATCCAACTATCCAAAATTATGTAATGTAGTAGGTATTTTAAAATAATTTGTTATTCTATTGTCTATAAGTTATAACTAAGTATAAGACTATTAGATGTTTTGTAATAATAGTATAACGCGACTACCTAATAAGGTTTGAGTCGCAAGACCAAACTATTATGTATAATTCTTATACTTTCGTATTTAAATTTTAAATCGCAAATCGACGAACTCAAGTCTACACGTTTTGGGCAATATTGTCTACTGTATAATCGTCATTCGACACTACCATAGATATTAAAACTACTGCAATTATGTAGGTATTCGTAGATATGAAATTTAATTAATTTAATCTATACCTATTCCTAGGTCCTCAAAAGTCGTATCACTAACAATAACAGGTTGTTGTATTATTTGTATTATTATCGCACGTCAAATGCGGTTGCCGTAATCGGTGAATTGCATTGGTTATTTTAACAATTAATGCATTTAAGCAGAATTATAAAACTAAAAGAAGGGGACTCTTGACACTTAAAAAAAAAAAAATATCATCCATTAAAATAATTGAACTTGGCTTAAATTAAGTTGCGGTTACGGGGAGGCCGGGAGCGAAGCCTTTATAAGTTATCCACTAACCACTAACGACTACCTACTTGAGAGTGATTAAAATAGATAATTTTTGAACAATAGAAATGTATTAACATTAAAAATAATTTGAATTATTAAATTTACCTACTACCTACCTAAATTAAATTATATTATACCGTATAGGTATGTAATTGCAGTTTAGAGTCATAATTCATGAATACAATTTGGCGAAAAAAAAATATTTTGTTTAAAAACAACGTACCTACTGTTTTAATGAAAATAATTAGGGAATAGGGGTGTTTTCAAAATATAAAGAATTTGAAGAATTATTTCCTTATGTCCCCTATATTACGATTACTGCCGGTACATAAGTGATAGATATTAATGTGTTATTATAATATTATTATCTGAGGCGCACATTTACAGATTTAGTATCCCATAGGTACTTGCATGTTGATAAATTATTAATATACGCACGTGGCTCGTAGGATAACAGAAAGAAATAAAACTACGCAAAAAAGATATAATGTTGAGCCTATTTTTGTAATAATATAAAACGTTTTGTCCGATAACATTGTTCTTATTGCAGAAGGCTGCATTAGAACTACTTCAGCTGTTTTTGAGAATGTATAAATGCGTTTGTCGATACTTACGTTTTAATCTAAGTCGATGGTGCCTATAATGGATATATAATGTACTTTAATTTTTTTATTTTTCTACCCATTATAGGTATTCGGTACTAATACAATGAGATTTGGTAAGTGCCTTCACAAAACATAGCACGATATAGCACAGGTAATCGGTTACATATTATTTTTATATCATTTTCTACAGGAAAAATCCACTGCACCTACCTATATGTGTAAAGTTCTACACAAACAAAAATTACCTCCATACAATATGATTCTTACACGGTGATAAAATATAATGCATTACTTTCTGTACATTCTAGACTTATCATTATTATTTATTACCATTTGATACAAAATTGTATGGACAATTCATTTTGTTGAATTCTCAAATTAGGTACCTACCTACTCGTTGGTTGTTAAAAATTGGATTAAAGACATTTCTTATGCAACACATATTAATCACACTGACTACATTTAAATTCTTAGTACAAACTCCCAAGTACTTAGTCATAGCTTAATCTAAGATTTGAAAATGTAATACAAGATTCCCCATGAGTTTGTCTACCTTTATCAAACAAAAAATATCTACAAGAAAGTCAAATCAAATTTTTATAAGCGTTTGAAGTTCATATTTTTACAACATTGCATATTCACTAGATTTCTTATGTAGCGATTTTCTTATTTTATTGTAATTCTAAAACGAATAACCGTATATTATACACATTAAATTATATCGTTTATTTTATACATTCCTAATGATAAAATTTTAAAATATTTTGTCTGTTTTCGAGCTATTTATAGACATTTTAAACTTTCAATGATTCAATTTTTTTTCCACAAATGTCAATAAAATGTTATTTGTTGGGACACAAAGCATGAAAAATTAATACAAGGCTCCTGATATATTGTTACAATAGTATTTGAAAAATATTAAAAATTCATATTCACGATTATTTTTATAAGCATTTAAATTTGGATTTTTGCCAACATTTATCAAATTTTAAATTTTAAAATGTTTTTGTAGTAAAAAATGTATAAGATGTTCAACTTTTATAGCTATAAGGATTGAACATTTAAAACAAGGTTCCGTGTAAATAGGTTATATATAAATTACTTTTATTCACAATAATATTATCATAAAATATACTTATAGTAGGTAATATCATAGACTGATTGACTTGTCGGCTGTCTTCGATCAGAATCGTTTTTCTTATACAATGATATTATTACAGTGACCCACTTGAAACCTACTGTACAGCAGAGCGACACCAAATTGTCCTCCTTTTTAGGACCTATTGAAATGTTAACATTTTCGTTTAGCAATACATTTTTGGATGTAAGAAATAACATACCTAGCTATTTTAAGTTTTTTTTCTTGTATGAACTTACTTTTAAGGATTTTTATCTGAAATGTCTCGTGTGGGAACTTAGGTTTCTAAGTGAATTCTAGTGAGAACTTAAATTCGACCAATA